TTCCCCATTAGAAGAGTAGTTTCCTCCACGCATTTGTCAAGTCTTATGTTCTGTTTATTCTTGCCTTTTAACTTTTAATTTCTATTTTTTTTATCGTGCAGATGTATTAGAAGCCCTGTTCGTCGTTGGGGAAGGAGGGGGGCATTCTTGAATTTTGGTTGGTTCATTTTGCAAGCCCGTTTTGGTGGGACATTTAAGCTCGGCCTTCACAATGCGGCCGAGGCGGTCTGACTATTTTTGAGGGAAAATGAGGGAAGATTTCAAGAAGTTTCATTATCTTTGTTAATCTCTAAGGAGGTAATAATAAAATCTCTTTTATAGATATTTAAAATGAGATTCTTCTGACGAAAACTTATTTCTTAAGGTACCCCTTCAAGAGGGATCTTCTACATGACGCTATAGGAGGTTTAACGGTTGGAATCATGCACGTACCGCAAGGTGAGGAATTTTGTCAGCTTTCCACGACCATTTCCATCAGCGGCTTTCCTTAGAAAGTAGACTCGAACAAAAATCCCAAAAATGCCGCAGAGCATGGCTTATTGTCAAGCGCCACACTCCAGAGAAAATCATTTGAAGACAAACTGTACACTCACCTACCAGATGGCTCTCTCTCATTTGTGAGTTGAATGGATCCGCGGCTGTACCGGCGTGCCACTTTTCCCGCTCAGAAGTTCATGGAAACGGGGCTGGATGGTGGCGATACCCGTGCCGTCTCCAGACTCCGCCCACGTTGCTGCACGGCCAGCCACACGTCCTAGCCATAGCCAAACGCGCTGCTTGTCTGCGTCCTCTCACTTCGGGTCGTTCTCCACCACTGCAGGCCCATTCACCTCGCACATGGTAAAGACCATCCTCAAAGGGTGAGTGAACAGTTGTCTTCTAACGGTAATTAAAACAGTTACGATAAAAGGATAAAAGAACAAATTCTTCGCCGTTGATCAGCCGTTGATTCGCATTTTCTTTTTCTAAATCCACAGCGGAAAAGTTCCAAATAGTTTATTCTTATTTTGATGACTTTAGGTATTGCCTACGCTTTATTAGCTGGTGTCGATCCAGTAGTTGGTCTATATACCTCATTTTTTCCTGTATTGGCGTACATGCTCTTTGGTACTTCACGGCATTGTTCTACAGGTAAGCGAGCAATCATTACTTCCATGGGAAAAAAGCGATCTTATTATATCGAAATCAGAGATTGCGTGAGGAACTGGGGAAAAGGCTTCTCCGCTGTAACTTGTCAGCTTTAGCTGGACGTACGCAGTTACATTCTAGCTTAAGTGAAATAGCGCAGGGGAATGAGATTTACGGTATGCCACTAGCAGCGTTGCTTGCTTCACTACGGTGCCCCGAATGCATCACTTGGAAGCACCCTGCCAAGCCGAAATCACGAAAACAAATCTGCCCATACCGACTCATTGCGTATGTTAGTCGGAGCTGACCGGGTTGCGCAATCAAAGAGGCTGTATAGTCGCCTTTCGGCTTGGGGTGGCGGCAGAACTATGGTGTTCAGCTGGTACAAAGGCACCTTTTATTACACCTGTTTGATCCTCTTACCGAAGGTTCACTTGCTACTTTGCAGCTTCATAAGATTCGACGTGTCTTACCATAGTGAATTCTGCTAGTTAAAAAAAGCAAGCAAAGGTTCGGCGAAATGCCTCCCAAAGCCAAGCGGCGCAGAGTGTTTTATTTTGACTTTAGTAATTCAAATTAAGGAACCTTCGCCGTAGTAGCACTGATGGCGGGTAAAGCGGTGACTCGGTTGAGCCAACCTTCTCAGGACTCGTTCTCCAGTACGTTGACGAATCTCACTGACACATCTTCGTTACCAACACCGGTCCAAGTCGCCACTGCTCTCACCTTGTTTATTGGTATTATTCAGGTAACCGTTTTCTCATCTCTACCATTCGGCGCTGAAACCTGAGCGGCGTTTTTCGGCCGCCAATTTGAGGGCCACTTTATAATGAGACCAGTTCAGGTAATGGTGGCGATATTCGGGCTGGACTTTGTTACCACGTATTTTTCTGACGAAGTTGTTGCTGGATTTACAACTGGTGCTTCTGCACATGTTTTCATCACACAGCTCAAGGATGTCTTCGGAATCACTGGACTCCCACGACGAGATGGCATAGGGAACGCGCTTTTAGTCAGTCTCAATTTTTAAAACATGAATGACTTGTAAAAAATATTTTTAAAGGGAAGATTTCGAGGGAGACGTGGTGTAGTGGCAAGTACACCTCATATCTCGGCGAAGGGTATGACTGCGTGCTCCCTTCAGAAATGGCGTAGGATGCGTTTCGGCGGGATCTTCCATTAGAGACAACCCTCGTTCCACCTTTCGCTCCACGGAAAATGATTACAGTTCTCCCAAAACCAGGATATTAGCATCAGAAGCAAACCGCCGCCTCGTTTGTATAAAATACGCAGCCACGCCCTCTCCACATCCGCAGTTCTCGGTTTAGAGTGCAGTTACACGCTACATTAGTCCTGCAAACAAGGGGTGTGTGAGGGGCGTGGAATGGAATGTTTTTCCTCCAATCGATGCCGTCCTGACCCGGCAACCACTGGTGGGAAAGTCTGCTCCGGCTGCGTTCAAACTCCACCCCTTCACACCCTCTCTCGTTCTGCGGGAACATATTTAACTGAATATCTCACCGAATACTAATACAATAAATCTAATCAGATTTCCATCTATTTGGAAAATGTTTCGCAAGAAGGTGAACATATTTGTAAGGTAAACATATTATTTACCTATACTTTTTCAGAAAGTCTACGATCTCTGCGCAGGAATCGCTCGAACGAATCTTGTCACCCTTGGGTTGTCAGCGTTGACGATTCTCATGCTACTACTTGGAAAACACGCGATAAATCCTTTCATAAAAAAGCGTCTCCATTGTCCTGTGCCATTTCCCATGGAACTCATTGCTGTGAGTGTTCTGTTGAAAGGTTTTGGGCGCTAATAACCTGGAAAAGAAGCCATCGGAACTTCTGCTCTTGAAATCGCTTCGCCCAAACCCTGGAGTTCACATTCCCGCTCTGGGGCAAGGCGGAACATTCATCTCCATTACGAAGACTCTAGGTATTGTAGCAAGAGCCCTTAAATGTCCCTGTCAAGGTATGTCAGCCGGCCCTGATTTGTTCTCTGCTTGAAATCCCACATTTCCATTTTGTACTGCTTTAGGTGGTCGTTGGGTCTTTGATTTCACAATTTGCTCGTCTCAACGCTAATTTCGCTGTCAAAACCGTGGGAAAAATTCCGCAAGGGTGAGCGATCATTATAAATTGCAATATTTATTTGGTTCCTGGAGTACTGATGTCTGTTCCGGATGAAATCAAATGACAATCACCAAAACAGAGACGTTACAACAGTTGAATTTGAATGACATGTTTGCTTATAGTGCATCACATTCGCCAAAGAATTAGCGCGTTTGTCGATATTTTAGTAAACTGGAATGAGAGGAATGGGCAGAGTCGGATCCGCTGTCACTCCCCCCCCCCCCCGAATTTCTTCCCTCGCGTACGAACATTCTGGCCAGCCCTGTCCTACCCGCCACCATCTTCCTAGATCCTCCCAAGTTCCTTCCACTTTTTCCCAGTCTTCCAAAAAGTTTGCCACCTTTCCCCAAAATGCCGTCGCGAGCCGGCAGAAGGAGGGCAGGGGGAGGAGGAAGTGTGGGTTGTGATCGTCCTCAAACAATTATGGATTTATAGTGATTTCAGCTATCGAAGGTAGTGGTCGTCTAGGACTTTGACGGCGTCGCCAACCAAGGGAGGTATGCAACACAGCCGGAAAAAATTCTCCTGCTGCTTGGTCGGTCAAGACCAACAACTTCTCCGATCAAGTACGACCATCCCACCTCATGGGGTTGTCCAAACCCTGTTGCTGCACCCTTCACTCAACTCAAAATTATTCACACTCCTGAAATCTTCCTCCCTCATAACGTCCGCCATCTGGCAGAAGGGCAAGTGAATGGACTGTAATGAAGTGAATGGCCGCATCACAGAAGGTGCAAAAGAATTGCAGACGTCTTCATCATCTTTTGTGTAATATTATTGCAAAACACGACCACTCCCCAGAGTTACCACAGTTGTTCGAGCCCTTTTTCCCCACCCTACCTACCGTCTTGCTAACCTTCGCTAACTTCCTACCATTTTCTTTCAATTCTTTCTATTTTTTACTTTCCCTAGGAAACAGGAAGTCGAACAGGTCCGTCACCCGTGGGAAGCTTGTGGTGTCCTGAAGCGGGAAGGGACAGGAAAATTTTCCTTGTGTCTTTTGTGAAAAAATGATTTTAATGTTGTAGACACGTCACCCCATTGACCGAAGAGAGATTGCCAGAAAACCTGTTGAGACATTGTTATGCGGTAATAGTATACGGACGAAGGAAGACCAACTTGCTGAGCTCCGAAAAGTGGCACGGCGACCCATCGAATGACGCGCCAAGTGCGGTAGCATCGGAAGAGGTTTTGAGGACTCCAGTACGTTGGGGAGCAGTAAATTTGCAAGCTGTAGTAAGTACGTGACGCCAGGCAGTACAACGACTCGAAATCAATGCATGTCTGGATGAAATGGAAGGAGAACCACATGGCATCCTTTAGAGAGCCGTGATGATCGATGCCGGCAAAGGGCTAAGCCATACCGGCGGTGTAAGGCTTGCATGCTCATAATCGCAGTGAGTATTGGCGGCATATGCCAATAGTTGCATGAAAGGCACCCTCTACTCAGCTGTAATAGAATGCTGAAGAACATGAAAGCAGCTCCACGCAACGCTGAAATGAGGATGCTGAGATGGGCCTGCGGCTGGACACGACTCGACAGAGTCAGAAACGAGGACGTCAGAGCGGTCACACAGACGGCTCCTATCCAGCTGAAGGCACGAGAGCAGCGACTGCGATGGTACGGTCATGTACTGAGGAGGCCCGAAGACCACCCAATAAGGAAGGCATTGGAACTCGAAGTAGAGGGCAAGCGACCACGAGGAGCTCAAAGAAAAGATGGAGGGATGTCATAAAAAGGACCTCACTGAAGTGAATGCCACGGCAGAGTGAATCGGAACAAGTGGCGACGTGCAGCACGAACAGCGGACCCTGCGGCGGGGCGGGACTAAGGATAGGGAGAAGAAGGCTAGTATGAAGCTTCAGAAAGGATTGAGCACTTGAATCTTTTCTCTTAGAAGATCGAAAGCAATAGAGCAACCTCAAAAGAAACACAATCAAATCCTCTCAGTAGAATAAATGACTACAACAGTTCATTTCGAGTAATTATAAGGAAGAGTTGCACAGTGAAGTTGGAAAATCCTCTGATATTATACAGTCCACTCCACTGGGACAATCAGAAAAAGCACTCAGGTTCTTGTGCAGGGCAATCCAAAAGCTTCCTTAATAAGACCCGCATCAAACTGCAAGTGCATGTCCTCATTGTTCTTCCTGAGATGATGCACAACCGATCACACCGAGCTTATGAGCATCGCAGATGCAGCGGCATGCTGTAGTACACCTGAAACAATTGGACTCGAATGTACGTGAAAATCTTCAGAAGTTCCAGTGCCATTCGTTAAATTCAGCGCTCTGTATTTGAAGATAACGGCCTAGAAATCGTAGTTTACCTTGCTCCGAACCCGATGAGATTCGCAGGGCATATACAACCGGGAGCTGCCGAATGGAGAGCAAATCGGCGCGACGTTTTCACAGGGCCTCTTCGGAAGCTCGTTGCGGCCATTTCGGAATAGTGCCGAAGGAGGATAAAGGTTATC